CGCTGCGAACAGAGAAATAGAGGACCTCAAGGCCAAGCTCAAAGTGCTTGAGAGAAAGAGGTTGGAGGACAGGGAGAAGTTGAAGCAGTTGGACCAGGTCCAAGGCGAGCGGGACAGATTCCAGTCGATTATAGAAAAGTTGCAGGCAAAATACCAGCCCCAGCAGAGCGAGAACAACGAATTGCGAAAACAGCTGAAGGAGGCAGAGGAGAGATTTGAATCCATCGAGTCGATACAGATGGAGCACGAGACTGCCCTGGAGCTGGCCACGTTGGACCGTGAGATGGCTGAAGAGACGGCCGAGGTTCTTAAGGTTGAACTTGAGGCTCTGAAGCAGAAGTCAGAAGAGCTGGAGCTCGAAGTGGAGATTCTCCGCGAAGAGAATGCGGAATTCGGTCAGGGCATGTCAGCGGAAGACCGCGCTAGCACCGGGTGGCTGCAGATGGAGAGGACAAATGAGCGGCTCCGTGAAGCTCTGCTGCGACTGCGCGATTTGACTCAGCAACAAGAAGAGGAACTCAAGGACCAAATTAAGACATTGGAGGACGACCTCCAGGAATTCGGCACCATCAAGGAGCAGTTCGATGCGGCAAAGGAGAAGTTGGCCCAGTCCGAGGCTGCCGTTGAGGATCTTCGGCAACAACTGGACAATGCTTTAGGCGCTGAAGATATGATCGAGGATCTCACTGAGCGTAACATGAGTATGTCTGAGCAAATCGAGGAACTCAAGGCCGTCATCGAGGACCTCGAGAACCTCAAGGAGATTAATGACGAGCTGGAGATCAACCACGTCCAGAACGAAAAGGAGATGCAAGAGGACCTTGACTTCAAAGACAGCGTGATCACAGAGCAGGCCCGACGGGCAGGCGAGCAGGAGGAGGCCCTCGAGGACATGGAATACACCTTGTCCCGATTCAGAGGCCTGGTCACCAGCCTGCAGAGCGACCTGGAGGACATGCGGGCGTCACATGCTGTGACCGAGACGGAATCTGAGCAGCTTAACAGCAAGTCCCGCGCTATGATGGACCTAAACATGAAACTCCAGATCTCCGCCTCCAAGGCCCAAGTCAAGACGATCGACCTCGAGCTACGACGACTGGAGGCTCAAGAGGCCGAGCAACACTTGGAGATTGTCAAGATGTTCCTGCCCGATACTTATAAGGAGGACCAAGACTCTGTGCTTGCTCTGCTAAGATTCAGGAGGTTGGCCTTCAAGGCCGAGCTCCTGCAGTCGTTCATCAAGGAGCGCGTCAACGGCCAGCCTCATCCCGGCCACGAGGACGACGTCTTTGCCGGCTGCGATGCTATCGACAAGCTCACATGGGTCGCTTCTATGTGCCAACGTTTCACCAACGCTATCAGCCACTGCTCAATTGATCAATTCCAGCGGTTCCAGAACGCCTTGTTCGAGCTGGAGCCAGTGGAGCGGGCCCTGAACGGATGGATCGATGGCCTGCGACGAGACGATCTCAAGGAGCAAAAGTGTGCGGATGAACTCCAGCGCACGATCGCGCTCATGTCCCATCTTGCCGAGGTTCACCTCACCAACGAGTTGTCCGACTTCGCCGAAGACACATACATGCAGACTGTCGTCATGCAGAGCCATCTTGAGTCTGCCGGAGCTACGTTTGCTGCCTTGCGCGGAATGGTCCAGAGAGTCGTACCTTCTGAGTCCGAAGACGACGAGATGGCGCAGCACTTTAGCAAGAAGTCCGAGTTTGTCGTTGCCCAGACTCGGAGTGCCAAGGTTATTGCTGGAAAGGCTGTTCGGGCTCTGCAAGACCTCAAGTCTCGCTCGCTGGCGTTGCCGCAAGAGACCAAGGAGTCGTTTGAGCAGTGCCAGGATGCCACTCAGCACCTGGCGGCTTTGGCTCGTGAGATCGGCTTCGACTTGCATAAGCTCCTGCAAGAGGAGGGCCGTAACGAGCCCTTCACATACCGGGAAGTCCAGGACATAATCTCCCAGGCCACCACCAAGGTTACCATGTCAAGCGAGTCCGATCTCTTCTCGACGTACCTGTCCAGGCTTCGTACTCTGACTAGCCAAATTTCAGACCTGGCGGCGCTCAGCGCAGATTTGTCTCAGACGCAAGAGTTTGAAGTCAGCCCTGCACCATGGAAGCTTCGTTCCCAGGAGCTCAAGGCCATCAAGACGATCCCCGTCGACGCGGAGGAGGAGATGCGCCGCCTTAAGGAGGAGCACAACGAAGCCCGCGTGGCGATTGCGCAGCGCGACGAGAATCTCAGCACTGCCAACCTCAAGATTGAGACCCTCGAGTCGAGGATGAAGGATGCTAATGCCAAGGCTTCTCGCATCGAGGATCTCGAGGCGCAGATTGAGGCTGCCAAGCAGAAGGCTGCCAGTCTCAACGAGGACATTGACAAGCAAGATCGTGAGCTCAAGACGTTGGAGACAGACCGCGACAAGTGGAAAAAGATTGCCGGCGACAGCAAAGCTTTCGCCGACGGTGCCGGTGCAGCGGGCGCCAAGGCCGGCCAGGAGCGGGCGGTCGCTACGGCGCGCGAGATGGATGCTCTCAAGAGCGAGATTGCGAGCCTGCAGGCTGCCGTGCGATATCTCCGCGAGGACAATAGGCGCGCCAGGACGACGGAGCAGCACAACTACGACTGGCTGGCGGAGCCGCTCACCAAGTCGCCGTCTGTCGTCGAGCAGCGCCGCGCCCTCGTCGTGGCGGAGGGCAAGGACGTCCTCAGCGAGCTGGTCAAGTTCACGACATCCGCCCGCGTCTACGACCTTGCATCCCTGCCGGAGGACAAGCTTGCGTGGAAGCCCGCGCGTAGCACGCCGCAGTACCACGCGGCCAAGCAGAGGGAGGATCTCGCGGCGTGGAACAGCTGGCGGAACTCGGTGCTCAAGAAGTCAGAGGTCGTGCTGGGACGCAAGGATGGGGCGGCAGCGGAGAAGAGGCAAATGATGAAGAGCGTAGCGGCGAGATTGCAGATTCGTCTGCCGGACGCGGACGGCAAGATGGTGCCAGGCGGCGGGAGAGATGTGCAGATTATGGGATCGCGCGAGTGGGAGGGGATACAGGGCCGACTGGCGGCAGTATGATTATCATGGAAGCGATGCGATGTGATAGAAGGACTAGTAGGATGTTAAATACCCCTGAATCCCGACCTTATTTCTTCAAGTCTAGCATGCTTTGATTGGGGTTTTTTTTTTTTTTTTTTTTTTTTTTTTTTGGCTCGGCTCTACGACCCCCTTTGTACCTCCTTGACCTCGTTTGCCTGTTGACCATTGACGGTTGTCGTCCGTGGTTTTACTTTTCATGATGATGCCTAGGACCCGAGTCCTTGAATGAGATAACCTCTGACAAGCTCTCTCTTTTCTCTCGACTGACTATACCCGGGCCTCAATCAAGCCTTGCCCTTGCCCTTCTTCTTCTTACCAGCCTTCTCCTCACCAGCACCACTACCGCCGCCCAAAGCACCTCCCTGAGCCTGCTGCATCAACGCCGCCATCGGATCCCCGCCCCCCTGCATCTCCTTCATCATGTCCTTGAACAGATTCTCGCTGACACCGCCGCCCGTCATGGCGGGACTGATATACGGCAACAGCTCGCCCATCTTCCAACCTCGCGGGACAGCAGGCCTAGGCCACGGCTTACTGGGGTCATGCGCCGGCGCGCCCTGCACGCGCGCCTTGAGCGCGGGGCTCTCCTCCGTCGTCGGGTTGCGCTTGAGGTGCTCCGCGACGAGAATGTACAGGTGGTGCTTGTTCTTGACCTCCTGCGACCCCGCAGGCCGACTCGCGGCGCTGGCTTTCCCGCCGTCCGGGCCCGTCTGTCCCGCGAAGCGCGTGCGGATCTTGACGCGGCCCGGGTTCGCCCAGTCCTTTGGGTGGAATTTGGCGGGCTCGAAGAGCGTGGGGAGGCGGAGGGCGGCGCAGGCGTTTACGATTTCGCGGGCGATGGGGTTCTCGACGGCGAGGGATTTGGGGACGCGGCGGCCTTGGGCGCGGGTGCGGCGGGCGTCAAAGTAGATTGGGTAGAGGCACTGGAAGTCTGCGTATTGCTTCTGGTCGACTGTCGTTTGGAAGTCGGAGGCGCCGCGGGGGTTTGGGTTGGCGGCGGCGGCGGGGGGGATGGTGGAGGGGTTGATCTGCGGTGCGCGGGATGCTGCTGATTTGGGCTCGACGCGGCGCATGATGTCGTTGTCGGCAAAGTCGTCAATGTCGCCCTCGGAGGGGTCTGATGCCTCGAGGTCGCTGTCTTCGACCTCTTCTATGCGTGGGTGCGACATGGTTATGGTTTGTCTGGGGGGCGGGGGAGGTTTTATCTGTGGTTCGTCGGTTTGTTATTTTGTATCCGATTGGAGGTCGTGACTCCAAATTACGGTCCGCTCCGGGTTTCGTCGTTGTCGTCGTCGTCGTTGGTGGTGGGGTTGGGACCTGTTGACGTGGGAAAGGTGAGGTGAGGATACAGTTGTCGATTCAAGAGGAGGCTCTCTCTGCTAGTCCACTCTGGGATTTTGGCTGGCGGGTGTGGGGTTGCAAGACCACGGTTCGTGGTGGGGTTTGGGCTGGGAGTGGCGGGGTCCACTATCCCGCTGGGGTTCGGCAGACAGGCACAGGGCATCACATCACCTCAGCTCATGGGTAGCTTAAGGAGGAAAGTATAGTCGGAGACTTGTTGTACATCAGTAAGTAAGCATGGCGCTTTTCCATGGAAACCAAAAGAGCAAAGAACATCTTACTAGCAAAATAAATAAAGAATAAATAAATAAAAGAAGTCTAATCAGGTATTCGAACTCATGGCCTTCAAAAATAGAAGCCACCGGGGGTCGAGCTACTGGCGCGGAGGTCGGGAGTGAGCTGTCCAGACTGTTACGCCAATAGGTCTCCTCATCCGATGGTGACAATATGAGCAAAAAGCCGACCTGTAGTATACCAAGAGCTTCAGGTGTTGGTTGGCCTTGCAAGGCCGGAATTCTGATGTACGGCTGATTACCCCTCAAGCGCTGTAGGAGGGCATCCGGCGTAGACAATATTCATGAAACATCTATTCATGCATAGCTATACGAAGCTCATGTGGCAAGCTCAATTTGCCAATGAGCAAGCTAATCATACACAAATTAAATTCTCAACAGCAAACCCAGCACGTATGCAGACCATCAGCAGATGAGCTACAACTCTCTATGCCATAGCCAATCCATGTGCCAACGCAAGTTCTCTCCTTCTCCCTCCCTTTGTCTCTCTTCCCCTCCCCAAAAAAAAAAAATCGGTACCTTAGAGCTTCTCAGTTTTCGTGAATCTTGGCATTTTTGAACTTTGTGCCAGGTGGATGGTCCTCAACTCTGAACTTGCAAAACGGGTGAGTGCAGGTGGTTCCGGTGATGCTGGGACACTACAACCTTTGTTAGCACAAATCATTCCACAAGGGTGAACATCGAAGCTTACATGATGTCCGTAGATGCAGTTGTCTACATCACACTCCTGACCGCTGGTGCAGGGGTTGAGACGAGTCAAGTGGGCGATGGCGTTAATCTCATCGGCGTTGGGCTTGTACTTGTGTTCAAAGCAGCACTCGTCGCCCTTGGCACAAGGTCCACGTAGGTAATGGTTGTTGCACAGCTTGTCCTTGCCCGTTCGTTTCTTAATGTTGTCCATAGCCGTCGGGTTGATGGGGATGGGAGCATCAAGGCCACGTTCGCCAGGGTTCCACGCCGGTGTCGACACTTTGGGCTCCGTAGCCTTTCGAGCCGGAACATTGGCAGCTTTATTGGCCAACGGGGTGGTGATGACTGGGGGCGGGCTTGCCTTGGCAGTAACTCCAGCCCAGGAGGAAGAAGCTGTCGTAACCGCTGTGGCAGGAGGCGAGGTCGGCGAAGCTACAACCATCACAGGCGAAGATGTCGACGCTCTAGATGAAGCCGAATAGAAAGGCGTCGGAGTAGCCGCCGCCACCGCTGAAGATCTGGCGTAGGCTGCCTCGGCGCGTTCAGAAGCGCGGTCGATACTTCTATCAATGAGCTTTTGGTTTCGGAAAAGGCTGGGCAGCGGGTCGAGGATATGAACGTTGGTGTTTTTCAGCTCTCTGACCGTGGCGACGCCCTCAATTAGACTGACTCTCGAGCGAGTATCTGTATCCTGAAGGATCTCATCGAGAAAAGGGGCATAACCCGCATCGTGGGAAATGCCAAGCAAAATCTGTCTGCAATTGTAGTTTCGCAAATGCCAACGGGTGGCCTCTGATATCAAATCAGCCCATCTGTCACTTCACAATACCATCTAGACTTGGGAGTAGAACTCACCTTTGATCTTCGAGTCGGCACGTTCCTTACCGTGACCGACGTCGATGAAATCAAACGAAGCTTTGGCCTGGGTGAACCCCAAAGAAAACTCCTTGAGCTCGGACTCGCTGTCGAGGCAGCCATCTCTGCGCATAGCACGTCCAAGGCCCGATAGATTGGCGCAAACTTTGGCGACAATTTCAACCTCACCCGACTGACTGCCAACGTACTCGGCAACGGCGGTGCGGAGGGCGTAGGCGGCTTGCTTGCCGCCCTCGATGCCCTGTCTGATAAACGATTCTTGAAACTGGTGAGGGGCGCCGCGGTTAGCATTCTATCGATAAACTGAGATAGCACTTTGGGCCACGTACAAGGAGTCCGTCTCCATCAATTAGAATCAAGACGTAGGGATTGCGATTCTGCGAGGTTTAGTCACTCCGAAGGCAAAAGGTGGGGGGGAAGCTGCTGGGCAGCAGGCGGCACCGGTGTCTACCTTCATGTAGCTGTTATCATAATCAAGCTCTTGCAGCACCTTCTGCATCTCTCTTCTGGAAGTGGTGGCATGCTCGAGGTCAAGCTTTGCATTACGCAGCTCCTGCTTGAGCATTTGATTTTCACCGGCATATTGGCCCTGAATTTCTTTGCAGTATATCAAAAGTTCCTGTAGAGCGGGAAAATCAAACGAGGTTAGCGGAATGTAACTTTGGTCAAGGTTCATAACCTTGTTCAGAGGGGCGGTCCCATGTTGGGATGGACGGGAACAGCAGTTCGTCACGTCTTGTGCAGGTGGGTTGAGTGTGGGCTTGGAACGGTGGCGATGAGGGAAGTAGGGGGATCAGCAGCCGAAGCGCGTCAACCATGATGATAGCTGCAGCGCCAACGCCAAACAGGCGCTGGAGCTAGGTAGACGCGGTAGCAAAAGTTGACGACCTCCATCAGAAAGCTCAAGCTCAAGCTCAATCCGGGGGTGGCTTTGTAGTGGGACCCTGCCGGGCAAGGGATAGGAAGCTTTGGTCTCTCTGCAGACGCAGAAAAAGCCGTGGAAAGGACGCTGAAGATTCAACTGGGAAGGGGTGCGCAAGGAACGGCATGCAATGGGGGAAAGTGGAAAGCGTAAACGTACCTTCATCAGCTGGTCGCTGGCGTTCTGGAAGCCCTGCAAGGTCTGATAGCGAGTGACAAAGTCCATGATCTCTGAATTATCCAAGGCCATTTTGGTAGACGATTTTTCTTTTGTGATGCCTGTTCCGATGGCCGATGGAAAGGTATTGCTCGGAGAGAAAGGAAAAGAATGCAACGGAGACTGGCTACTAGCGCGAAGGTAAGGTGGCAGAACAGGGGCCGAAGTGTTGGTGTTGATGCCCAGGTTGTTGGTGTCAAAAGGCGACCGGGTGGTCGTGGTATGAGTGGTGGTGGGCATCTTGTTCCTTTTTTTTTCTCTCTCCCACTGCCCTTGGGCTGGCTGAATGAGAGTGCTTCTTTTCTGCCGCCAGTTAGATTCAGCGAACAAAATAACAATCGAAAGAGCCCAAGCAGGAAGAGTGGGAAGGTGAGGCGGACGCTGCAGTCCTTGTGTGCCAAAGAGAAAAGGCAACAAGTCGCGGCGGTGGTCTCGACTGCTGCACTCTCTATTGGCGCCGGGGTGCAGGTGCAGGTACGGTAGGTGGGTGAGTGAGCGAGAGCGAGTGAGTGAGAGTGAGTGTGCGTGTATGTATGTTGTGCTTGGACGAGACGTGTGGATGAGTTTGGTGCTTGAGGTGATGCTTGGGTAGGAGAAAAAAAAAAAAAAAAAAGGGTGGAAGTACCGTGCCTGTCTCTTGTGCTTGTGATGCTTTGGTGCGATGGCCCAGCCGGATCAGGCAGACAGTGTGCCCTGCTGTAACAAGAAATGTGCCTAGCCAGTACGTAGCAGGTTACGTCTCTTCTGGAAGGCGATATATGAGAGGTGAGGTGAGGTGAGGTAACCTATCGACCAGGTTCGTGTGCAATGTAGGAGAATCGCGTAGGTAGGCTGGTGTGTGTTGATATGGGGAAAAGGATCTTTGTGGCTAAACCCTTTCTTCACATCCAGAGCTTTGCGTGAGCTGCAATAAGAAAATTGAGGGTCGTGGAAGGCAAGAAGCCAAGCCAGGTGGGTAGGTAACAAAAGTGTAAGAATGGGAAAGCAAAGTGAGATGCGGCCAAAGACAAGCACTCTGGCTACCTTAGCGCAATTCACGTCTCGTGGATCGGCGATGGGATTGATAAGGTTGATAGCCGGACAGGGCTGGAGTTTGGGGGCTGGAGACGACGTTCAAGATGGTTGATCCAGGCAAAAGTCGTAGGCAAGTAAAGGTAGATAGGTAGTACCTGAGGGCTGAAAAGGTGAGGTGTGACGACGGGTTGAAGGTGAAGTTGGTAGTGCCAAAAGAGCCTCTGATGGTGCGTCTCGAGAAAGCGAGCAGAGGCTAGGAAGGCAATGCAACGCCAGGCAAGACGAGAGACAATGGGGTAGGATCGGGATTCGACCAGACCAGGATTCAGGACGAAGGTTGGTTGGTGGATGGGGTCTTGGGTGAGAGGGCGGACGTAGTACGAATATGTCTGAGGTTGAGACGAGTTAAGGTAATAAACGGTAGGCGCCGGAGAGATTTTTTTTATTTTAAAAAAAGAATCTCTTTCGCACTTTACGAATAAGGGTCAATAAGACGGTTTTATGTATAAGGTGGAAGAAACGAACAAAATATTACGGACGGATCTGCGAGACAGAACAACGCAGCAACAAACGGGTTTGGGATTTAAAAATGCCAGTCGTCTGATGCGTGTTGTCTGCTTTCTCTCCCAATCGATACCTGACAGCAGTAGAGAGAGTGACAGGAAGCGGTGAAGCCAGGACCGAATTCCTGTATATCGATCTGCTGGGACCCGGGAGACGGAAGGCAGGATGAGCGCTCACTCGCCGAGGCGTGTGATGGATGGTATTGGATGGCGGAGGCAAATTTCTTGATCTAAAGTACGGGTAGACTTGTCAAGAGATGGGGAAATTCACAAGGGAATTAAGAGAATCGGTGGGAGGATAATTGCAAAAGCAAAAAAGCAAGCGTCCGATGAGATGTTAGACACGCCACAACACAAGTCGTTGGCTGGCGCAAATTGATTTTTTTTTCCCTTCCTGTATGGTCTTGGTGCCGTACTGTCTGGACCCCGGAAAAAATTGTCAAACTGGCATACGAGAAAAAAAAAAGTTTACCGCTGGTCCCAATCGTCATAGGCCGCAAGGATATGCGTACCTTCCATCCCGCAAGACACCGGCGACACGCTTCCATTCCCCGGTACGCCGAGCGAAACACAAATGAACCAAGGTAGGAGGACGTGGACATGATGGCAATCATACAGTCAGGATGTGAATAGGGTATATTTGATCATCAATGCATACTCGTTGTATCTGCGTCGGCCATTTTTTGGGCTACCTGCTGACTGAAGACTACCTAGTAATGGCTGCGATGCGTGTTGCAATGTGCCTGGCCTGCACCTCGATTGATTATCCACCGCATGTGCATGAGATGCCATTTTAGCGACAACTTGCGAGGCACCACGGAACCGGTAAGCAGGCACTGGCAGGGCAGCTTGCTCCTTCTCCGCTGGCGCTAATCCCCCTACCGGTGCCCCACCTCATAGAGGGCGGGATCCTCCTGACTGGCCAGCATCCCTCATCGCGACAAGGGGTGCCCTTCAGCTGTAAATCATCCGTCTCGAAAGGCGCTCCAACTTCTCAACTCCAAATCAACCCACCAATAAGTGCAACCAATGACAACAACTCAAAGTCATGCACTCAACCGCCACTAGGCCGCAACCTTTTCACCATCTCTTTTTCGACTCTCACCTGCGACGTCCAAAAAAACGCCTTGCCGTCCCTGTTCCCTCTGCTACCGCAATATCGACACCCCTCGCTCCCTCTTCCAGGAGCCTGCAGGTAGGTGTTACGGATATCTTACTCCGACTTGAAAGCGAGCGGCTCAGGCTTAAATGTCCCTAAATGGCCTTTGTTTCTGTCCGGTTCAAACATCGTTCCTCAGTCTTCCATATAATGTACGTAGCAAGGGGCTCAAACAGATGACGGGTCGTACTGGTTTAGCAAGTTCCACACACTGTCATTCCCAAAATCTCCTTCAAATGACGTTGTTCCGGCCACTGGCGGTGGCGGCGTCGCGGCTCCCCATGCTGGCAGAGATCCGTCATCCGGTATGCCGTTAAGATCGTGGTAAATAAGGTCTCCCATCGGGAACAGCGGCGCAATCGACGTGAAATCCCAGCTGTTGGGTATGTTCCAGTCCGAGGTAGATGTTGGCAGAGGGTACGTCGATGCCGTGTCTGATGCCATGGGCAATGATGTCGGTGTCGCCACCGTGCTACTCTTGCTTACTGGCGTATCTGCCGTGGCCGCTGTTGTCGTTGATACCGATCCGCGGCCGGATAGACTGCTGGTGTCCGCCGTTGACGCCGGGGTTGTCTGGGATGCCAGGCTCGACAGGCTCGCTGGTGGCGCCGGGTTTCCTACTGCTTTCTTAAACTTATTAAATATCGCCTGGAGAACACCCTTTGCCGCCTTCGCCAGAGGATTTCTCTCTTGCATCGCTTCAAACCTCTCCGTTGTCCAGTGGAAGTGTTGCATGGCGCTGCCTGCCATATCCAGGTTCTCCTTGGGAAATAGGATATAAATCGATGCCATGAGCACTACTGCGTCAAAGCTGCCAAAGAACAGCGAGAAACTGAATGCGCTTGTCAGTCGATATCCGTCCAGGAGACGCACAAGACTTACTTTCGCCATGATCCAGCGTCAAGGCCTTGAAATGTGAGCATCTGTCGATGCAACATTTCAATGCTGGCCTTGAGCGCCTCTGTCCGACTCTTCTGCCTGTTAAAGATGTAGGGTCGGTGGAGCGCCATCAGGTTGAAAAGGTTCATCTGCGGCAGGTAAAACCGCACTGACTGCAGCCAGGAGCACGAAGGGTTACCGTCCCATTTCGTGTCCGGATTCTCCAGGCGGAAGTATGCAGGCGTTGCCTCGTCGAGTTCCATACATATTTGGTGCACCCGGTCGACCTTGGAGTAGTCTTTCGGACACGGACCGTCGTGTTCGAGCTCCAGAATCTCGCGCATTGGACCGACGAGCTTGAAAGCCCATATGCTTTTGGTCAACGGGGTTGGGGGATCTCTTTCGTCATCCCTTGGCGCAATGGGCGTCTTGCGGCGGTCTTTTGGCGGAGGCGCGTCTATTGGCAGACTTGGCGGGAGTATACGCCAGTCGATGCTGCCAGGACGTCCTAGCACAAGCGCACAGTGGATGTCCCTGGTCGGTGTCAGCCGAGTCATGAATAGCCATCCTTGCCGTCCGGCAATTGCTCACCATGTCATGAGGACCATGTAAAGCTTTCTCCTCCGCTGAATCAGCCACATGTTCTCGAGCATATCTCCAGTGTCATCGCTGGCCGGGGAAGGATCCAGGCTATCCCGGTGCATGCCAATCTCTTGAGCATCTCGAATAGCGCTACCAATGGCATGCCACTGTACTCATCATTAGCTTTCTGATAGCTTAGAGCTACGCACGGGAGTTCACCCACCGATTCCGTGACCTTTGCCATGTACTTGAGGAACGCAGCTCGAAGAAAATCGGCCTGGACTGTTGTGAGCGTGATTTGCCGCTTACCAAGCAGTGACAAAATGCCAACGCCAGATTCGCTGTAGTCCGCGGCAAGGTCCTCGAAAGTCATGTTCCCGGCATACTTGAGATGGTCGTAAAAGTCTTGCGACCCTTCCGGCAGAGTCAACAAGGCCGTCGCCAATACCTGGAAGAGCAGCGCAGGAAAAACTCGCAGGTCGGGCGAGAGTGCCTGTGGTCCAGAGTTGGAAAGCACGCTAAAGGGAATGTTGGACCACTCGGCAAACTGCTCTTTGAAGAGATCCTCCTCAAGAGCAAAGTACTGATGGTTGAACTCGGTGAAGTATACGTCGATGAGCTTTTCAATGTACCCCTTTGCCGGCAGCTGCCTGATCAAAGACTTGTATCGCTCCTTTGTCGCGAACTGGTCTTCGACATGGGCTGCGCCGCCGAGATGCGACAACTGGCCGTCGCCGTTGGCGCTTTCGATTTTCCTCATCAGACCAAGCGTGGAAGCTCCAGCTTGCGAGTAGCCCCAGTTCGCGGCGGCATTGGAGAGGCTCTGGACGTGTGTCGATCTTGCGCCCTCGCCGTCCGGCTTACGGTTGTCTTTCGCCGTGGGTGCGCCCGTTTCGTACTTGCAAGCATCCTGTTTGTTGCGCGACTTGCAGTTGGCGCATGGGAGGTCTCGGTCGCACTGCGCACCAGAAAATGTGTCAGCTACAAATTACAATGGTGGAGGGACAATTGTTGCGGGTAAGGCATAGTCAACCAACCTTTTGCTTTCGTCGGTGACATTCCGTACAAGAAATCACCACGCGTCTGCGCTTCTTGGGCGGCGGTCGGGCGTCTTGCGTTTGGTTCTGCAATTGAGTCGGTGTTTGAGTTGGACTTGTGCTCGAGTTCTGACCATCCCGCGCCGAGGGTGGTTTCTCGGAGCTGTTACGCCGGTCGTCGGCCATGGTCGGCCGCCGTAAATTTGTGTTTATGCGTGTATACGGCGAATACTATGCGGGGGACGTGGTTGTGGAATGGTGGTGTTCGTGAAGGCGCACTCGGGGAACGGCACGACGTTCTCGAATTGTCGGCGCCGTCGCCGCCTCGGGGATTGGTTGTGTCAGTGATTCAGGGTATTCGGTCCGCAAAGTGGGAGCCGCCTGAATTTCGCCGCGAGCTCGGCACGTGGGTTGCTGGAGTTGGCTGGGCGTCTGAGTATGCTTCGTAGAGTCGCGCAGACAGGCGCAAGGCCTAGATTGGAACAAAAGAGAGGCGGAACAAGTAAGAAAACCCGGGAAATGTTGATCTCGGTCGTTCTTCCTCGTGGTAATAGCTGCCGGAAGAGATGGAGGGAGGGATGGACGATTACGGAAGCAGGATGGGTGGAAAAAGTTGGAAAACAGGACCCGCCCACGATCAACCTGTGACTCTCGTCGGCGAGCGAAGCAGATGTCGCCTCACACTGGGGCACTGTGTGGAAGAGAGCGGAACCTGGGAATTGAGTGAGGTAAAGTGGTATGCTGGTATGCTGGGCTGGAGACGCACTCGGTGAGAAAGAGCTGCCACTGCGCAAGGTAAGGAAGGTAAGGTAGATAGACGGTGTTTGTTGGTAATTCGATCGGGGCTGGAAAAGACGATGGTGAGCGTAGTCGTAAAATGGACAACCGGGGTCCAGAAGTGACAGGCACTCGCTCTTTCCCTAGGTAAGGTATCCGTAAGGTAGGCTTCAACTTCGCTCTCTCACACAGCTCACTCAACTTGCTGCAAAGGGCAAGCAAGCACCTGGTGCTGGCAGTTGTGTTCCTTCTAGTTCCAGTCCAGGTCTGCGGCAAGAGCAAGGCAAGGCATGTGGCCGGCGGTGTTCGACTGTGGGGCCGGGAGTTGATCCTGTCTCTCTATGGAGTACTCCGTACACAGTAACTTGCAAGGTAAGGTAGCTTGTAACTTGTAAGGGTATTTCGTTTTTGCCCTTTTCGATTCCCGGTAAGGTCTAAGGTGCAATAATGGGTAGCATATCCCTGAAAGCTCCAAAGGATCGAAGAAAATAAGAAACTCCCGTCGTCAAAGGACGTCTTCTAAATCCCCATACTTTTCTTACACGTCCGGCCGGCACTTGGATATGGCTAATGTAGGTAAGGTAGTGTGATGACACGCGAAAAAGGTAAGTACTACTAGTAGGCAAATGTACCGACCAACCCTGGGACAATGTAAGGTACCTCACCATCCGGATACAACAGAAAGCCCATCAACAACAAAAACATCAGATCCAAAAATCCATTTACCCCATCCATGGTCCATCCATCCCACCACCCCCTTGGGGACTCACCATACCTACTCTGACGACACCGACGGAGCGAACGGCCGGCCTCTAGGGTCAACCGTCACGCAAGGATGCCCCCAAGACAGCTAGCTGCGGTTTTGTGATTTGCTGCACCTGCAGCTGTCCCATCGTCAATCCGCCCAGGCTTTTCTAGCCTTTGCCGACATGGATTACACCCCTAACTGGACGCTCTCAGTATCGTTCGACACTTTGGATCGGCAGCTCTGGGGGGTCACATTGAGAGAGAGGTCTTGGAGATTCTTGGGGGGAGGTGCACGACAAGCACCAGGCAGCCATATGGAATTCCCTTCGGCGTCCTGTACCACACAGACTTCTGCAGGTCATGGCGGCACGCAAGAATGAAGAAACCTGCGTTCCGCACCGTTCGCGTTCGCCTAGGCTGGTAATAGTCGGAGTAAGGAAGAGAGAGAGAAAAGCATCGTGCCATCGTCTTCCGCAGATCGCCCTCTTTCAGGACGTACCTTAGGAAGGGGACCCGAACAATAGGAAACACACGGCGTGGAGGGGTAGGGCCGGCAGCCTGCCGACAGGGGCACGGCGCGCCGAAAAATCAATGTGAGATGAGACTTGGACTGAGAGAGAGAGAGAGAGAGAGAGAGAGAGAGAGAGAGATCTCATCCCACGGCTCTCATGTCCCACGTTCCTCTCACGTCCCAACGTCCTGACTTTCCAACACACGGCCAATGTTCCTTCATGGATCCCCTCTGTCGCACCAATGCCCTTCGTAGCCAGCGTCAGCGATCCGTCGGCGGTGGTCGTCTTAAAAAAGTCAAGACGACCTTGGGGCAAAAATACAAAAAAGCTGCTAGTGCGATGATGCTCTGGTATTCGTTACTTTCCCTACGGACGTATGGCGTTGTGTGTTTGCGTTGTGCGGCAGTATGGAAGTTAAGTACGTGCCGTGCGAGGTGTGCACCGGCTGGCCCCTTGCTTGATCTTAGTGCGCGTGGCAACGGTGCACTGCTCAGCTTTAAATTCACCATCTTTTTTTTGGTTTGGGGGGGAAAATAGCCTTCTCTTTTTTTCGAATCTCGCACCTCATCACATCGCGGGACTTGGAGAGAACATGTCGCATCCTGGGGAACCTTGCCCGCCGACCCGTCCTCTCCTCTCTCCGTGTGTCTCTGTCTCTGTAGTAGACTCTTAAAGGTAATAGGGCAAAGAACTATCCGCATAGTTCTTCTGCCTCCAGAACGGACCTGGCCCCGTCTCCCCAGGACCCAAAGTCGTCTCGTCGGCTTTAGGAGTTTTGCCCATTGTCCGCCAAAGTCCGTTGTCCAATCGCCTATAGGCTATCCGTATGGGCGAACATTCTCAACCACACCACTCCCCCTTCCCTGTCTCCCCTTCCCTTGCCCGTGCCATGTTTTGCAGTAACATGCTTGGATGCCACATGCCACACACCATGCCGTCGAGAACCTACTTTACCGTCAGCTTGTCGCAGAACCATTAAGCTATAGAAGGTTGCGATCAACGGCAGTTCAAGGTAGCTCAGGTACATGCTTTTTCAATAGCCGACCACCGACACCTTGACTGGAGGAGGGATCTGGTCTGATCTGTGAACCGAGTAAGAAGGAGCTACTCAGAAAGAACGGTAGGTACCGGTAGTAGCAGCCGCAGCTGAACACCCAGTGAACCGCTGCCACACCTCGAGAAAAAAGATCGATGGACACTGCGGACGGGTTTGCTCACGATCCAGAGGGTATGCAGCAGACTTGGAGATCGAGGCAAGGACCATACTTAGACAAGTAAAACGTGGCAGAGGCTGTCATTTGAATGATATATGAACTGCAACTGTCCGCATGCAAGACCTGCATTTATAGAACCCGCAGAAATTCAACGCCGATTCCTTTTTTGATTTGTGCCCGTCTTCCGGGTCGCCGAGTCCCCCTGTCTAAGAAATCGCCCCAGTGCCGAGTCCGAATCCCCATCCTCTACGATATGAATACCATTGCAAGACCGAATATGCATGAACCAGCAGCAGCACCCTAGAGAATATGGCATAAAAGCCCCCCCGACGTCGGCACGACTGGAAAAAACGATAGAAAAAAACACGCCTGGGTATTGACTTGGGGTGTGTATAAGTTTGGTGGGTAGGTGGAGGGTGGAGGGTGTGGATGTGTGTGTAGGAGAAGAGCCGCCTATGCCACCCGGGAGAGATAGGCCTTCCAAGCCTTCCTGCGGTATCTCTCGGCCTCCGATTGAGGATCACCCGCCTTCAGAATACCACGACCAACAATGACGACATCGGTGCCGCAAAGCTCAACAAGTTTCTGGGGCGTGTTGTACTGCTGTCCCTTGCCGTCACCCGCAACGGCACCGTTCTCCTCGTCACCTTCCGGCGGCAGTTGGCAGCCCGGTGTCATGTGAATGAAAGAATCCTCCGGCTCGGTGTTGAGGCTCTCCTGGGACACGAAGCCCATGACGAAGTTCTTGTTCTCCCTGGCCGCTTCGACGCAAGCCTGGGTGTACTCTTTGTTCATGAAGTTGCCAGCACTGGACATTTGCGCCAGGATGAGAAGACCGCGATCCATAGGTGCCTCTTCGATTCCAGCGTACAGGACCTCGTCAGAGCTGTGGGACTCGTTTCTCGGGAATCGAGGGGATGGCGCAGGTTCGAAGTGTTGTGTCAAGGTCGTGATGGAGACAATGCTACCCTTTCGTCCGTTGACGTCGGATGGTCGGGGGGTGCCAATGGTATGTTCGAAGCCGTCCCCGTTGTTGTCCTCATCGTAATCGTCGAAGCTCTCCGACCTCGGTGTTCCAACCGTAACCGATGTCTTGACTTCGTAGGGGTACCTTTCGCGCCATCTTGCGGCAGCCTCTGCGAGAGCTGTGACAGCGGCCTTGCCCGGAACCATGTTGACGTTGATAATGTGAGCCCATTCGATGATCCTTGCGGATCCAGCGACGTACTGCATCTGGACCGTGTTACCAATGTCGCCGAATTTGCGATCCTCGAAAATCAGGAAACCATGTTTGCGAGCTAGTGCGGCAAGCTTAGCACCGGTACCAGTCTGCGGGTTGAAGTCCCAGCCGGAGACGATGTCGTGATGTGTCTTGAGCACGACAATGGAGGGGCCGACCTTGTCGGCAAGGTAAAGCAACTCTCTTGCGGTGGGGACGTCGGCGCTGAGGCAAAGGTTGGAAGCCTTCAAGTCCATCAATCGGAGTAGGTAGGCTGTGAGCGGATGGCTGGCGGATTCGGCGCGTCCGGCGAAGGTCGCCTTCAAAGTGCCGTGAGAGGTCATCCTAGCAGATGTCTCTCGGTTCGTTAATACTACAGTCGATTTCGCGCAGGGGACGTGCTGCTGTACCAAGTTGGTGGGAGTTGTGCACTACGGCGAGGCTTCCAATTGAAGAAGGTATGTATGGCAGTGGAGAAGGTGAAGGTGCCTGTCTGGGTTGGGTGAAGTTGAAGCCGATGAAAGGGGGGAGGGATGCCGAGCAAGCGGGAGGAGAGGGGGTGGGTTCGGAAGTGACGAAGATGGCTGAGAGAGCGCAAACAGGGTTTTTGTATGGTGAGGTACGAGGATAGCGTCCGTAGAGGGCGTTGCAATTGCTCAGGTCTGACGGTGTTCGTGCCGTGCCGGGCTTGGGTTTTGACTTGCGAGCTGGGCTTGACTAGATCCAACGTGGGTGTATCGTGACGTGAGGGAGAGACAAACAGAGACCTGACCAGAGAGTAAAGGGGAAAGGAAGCGTGAGGCGGGAGGCCAGAATAATAAAGTGACGAGACAGCGTGAGGTGGGCTGGACTCCTTTTAGTGAGGACTAGAACGGATAATAAGTTAGTGAGAAGTTGCTGTGTTGTGTGTGTGTGCAATGTGACTGTGGGGGTGCGCTTAAGATTAGATAGGTCAGTCCCGTCTACGGTGAGGTGAGGTACTGTCCCAGACTCCCACCTGGTCTCCAGGCAAAGCCGCAAGGCCGCAAGCCGCAAGCCAGGTGCTGAGAGCGGCCGACTAAAAAATTGTCGGAGGGGAACGTGGATGGAGACGGGGGGGGGCTTGGAGGGGAGGATGGAGGGGTTCTCTCGTCCGTTCTGCATGTCCAGATCCTCGTCAAAAAAGGCAAGAAGGGGGCTGGATTGGAGGAGGGGAGGGCCAAAGGTACCTCAGAGCCAAGGGGGTGCCACTTTTGGGGGCCGGAGCGGGAGATCCAGGAGGAACCAACCAAAAAAAAAAAAAAAAAAAAAAAAAAACAAAGAACAAAAAAAAGTGCATGGGTTAAATCAAAAATAAAAAAAGGTCCCATGTCGTTCAAAGGAGACGGGAGCAGAAAGAGAAGACTGGACTCAGAGAGGAGGAGAGACATTTGATGGTAGCAATATCGGATGGAGAAGAGGGAGGAATAGATCCTAACCAATGCCCTTCTTTCCCTTTTTTGCCTTCCTCCTAGGTACTGTACTTTGTCCATCCATCCATTGCCAAAGTAATTACTCCGTAATAATACTCTTATGGTCAAGTACTCTGGACCTTGGGCTTGGCGACGAATCCAATGAATCTGCATCAAAAGGCTCCTCCATCTGTAGTTTACCTCAATTTCAAAACTCCATTCCCCTTTCTCTCGCTTCTTACACCACGTTCGTCTACTCGTACACATCCACATCCAATTGCCTCTCGCGGCATGTCGACACCGTCATCTACCGTAGCTTTGCCTCTCCGGCTAGTCCAGCTGCTGCATTCCTGGTCATCGGAATCGGACTGGCCAGGGACACCGCCGTTCTTGGCCGAGCTGGAACATCCCGACACATCCTTGTCAGTATACGATACCCTGAATCGACCAAGGTACGGAGCGGGAGTGCAGTATGTACATAGGTAATTCGGTAAGACGCCTGGCTTAGTGTTCAAAGGCATTGTACGGATGCACATTACGGTGTGGGCTAATTAGTTGATTAGTAGTGTGTGTCCGTAGTCTTAGAACCAAAGCATGCCGACCTCCCATGTGGCATCCCGGCAACCAGACCTGTCCATGCCGCCGCCAATGCCAAACTAAGGGACTGACTTCTTCCAGGCATGCGAATGAATGGACTACGTCGGCGCCGATGGTCAGTTGGGCGAATGATTCAATACATAGTCGACTTCAGCTCCCATCACCTCATCTCACCAGACCAAATTGGCCCCGGAGCTTCGAGGGGCCGCTGACCATACTGCGGCAGATACATTTCGCTACCAAACTATGCCCCCAAAGCCAATCTGAAAGGAAAATCAAAAAGAAGAAAAGAAGAAACGGACGGCAAAGCTCGAGCCGCGGCATCCCTCAGGCTCGACGGCAGCATGCCTGAGTCGATCCCCATAGGCAGACCGACCAGATGAGATGGGCTCGTACCCACCTTTTGCACGTTCTGGAACAGACCAGACGTCCGGCAAAAGTATCTTTCTTTCCCCGATCAAACCCTGCAAATGTGACGTGTAGCCCTGTGGACAAGGGTTTTGATGATTTGTTCTATTCGTAGTGTGTGTTTCTGGACGCCGATGGAACTGTCGCCGAAGACAGCAACCACCATTTGCGCAAGACCAGCGCAGCTAACACAATGGTGGTGTCGTAGAACGGAAACCATGGATACAGTGGACGCACCAATCCCATCTCCTCCACTGCTTGACTTTGCGTTGCATTGAGCGGCAGTGCGAATTGTGTCAATATTCCTGTCGGCCCGATGCAAGGAAAATATGGTTGGAAGTGCAGAGTATCCTACCCGTATAGACTGAGATGTGGTGGGGTGTGTACCAAAGGAAAGCACCCTGGTTTACGAAGTCTAAAGAAGCAACCGTGACTTGTACCACCACCGTCATCTTCTGTGCATCGTTGATGAGAGACAAGAGGCCGGTCGAGCTCGACTGTGGTGACCCGGAGGGCTGGTTGGGCTGGTTGGTTCATCGTGTGGCCGCAGCCGTCGAATTTCGACGCCGGAAGCGGCAACGCCGTCTCATGGGGTGAGGCCGCCGCGGCCGCCTCTAGAACCACGCAACGGTGAAGGCTACGGGCCCGAAGCTGTAGGTGAGCCTGGTGAGCTACTCAGGCTTCACATATCCGTATCCATAGCTGCCTTCTTTCGGCCTATCAAGTTCAGGCGGCTGGACAATATCGTGCCATGCCCCCGGGTCTTAGTCCCACCAAGTAAGGCATTCTCGTGCCATTTTGCGATGGCGAGACGGGAAGTCCGATGAACCAAAGAACGGTGTGTGCTTCTTCCCCGCAACCATGCTACCTTCTGCCGGGAGCCCTGGCCTCGTTCCCTTTTCAAACTTAGCCCAACGGCTTCTGCCGACGGTAGCGCAGAAATGCCGACTCACGGCCAGTCTGTCGTGCTGTCAAACACGTGCAGACTTGCAGTATTATCCGTATTCCGTACATAGAAATCGATAAGTTGCGGCAAAGCTGGCTCTCAAAAATACCTACGAGACGTCCAAGCTCTCGGAAACGGCCTTGGCAAGTCCCCGACGTGCTCGATAAATAAGGACCATCCGCCAAACAATGAGTCTGGGATGTTTGCCGAAACTAGACGAGCTGCACCAGCTTACCACCCGAGGACACGACATATTCGGGTCCCCGCGATCGGCAATCACCCGGCGATGATGTTGGGCTGAGGGGCCATGGTGTCGGGACTCTTCCTTTAAGGTCTTGGGAAAACACCCGGCAGCATACGGTTCGTTTCGTACGTCCACTCGGACTAAAACTGACAGTCCAGGCTAACGAGCCTGGCCAGCGGCTCGGACAGCAGGATTGACTTGTGGCCTGTGGATCAGACCCTATAGAGCCAAAGCGGAATCGAAGGCAGTGCTAAACTCGAGAGCTAGCGATACTTCAGCAGACACAGACATGCCCGGTAATGGTTTCAGCAAAATGCATACGTACGTGATGATTTATGTTCATTGTCGGCAACTGTATCTCGATTCTTGCAGATTTGTTATTGGTGGGGTAAAATAGGCGATACGACTGCGGGGTGCTCTTTGGAAGACGATAAAGATGGCGGGGTGTGCAGAACTGGTGGTCATCGCAAGGGGCCAAGAGAGAGAGAGAGAGAGAGAGAGAGAGAGAGAGAGAGAGAGAATATGCCTGAGACAAGTATCGACAGGGTTCCAAGTTCAGAAGTGCCAGTCTATCTAAGGCGCACGACATGTAGTTGAGATAGGAAGATCCGAGACATGCAGGTGCCTGCCTATTGTCGTTATCTTGCAGCAGGGCAAGTACGCATCACAAGTGACTCTGCTCTTGCGTTTTGCGGGCGCACATGGAAGGCCCAGGGTTGGCTCGATGCTGCCATCGTCGTTGTCGTTCTTACTATTGTTGACGTGGAGGAGATTGATTGATGTGGAACATCAGAGCTCGATACAATTTGTTCCTCATGACTCTAACTGCGTACTCACCTAGGGATGCCTGATAGCCATGGCGAGGACGAGGAAATCTAGAATGCTCAACTTGCTAGATGGCTAAGCCATGTTGAAGGGCATGGTATTCTTGAGTTACCCACATCGATAAGAGCCGTCCCCAAGTTGTATTCTTCCTCTTTCTTATCGTGCCTTGGATGCTACCTTACCTTAGTGCAATGCTCAGGGTTCTACGGATAGACCAGAGTCACATGCCACCTTACTGATATCAGTCGCTGTTGTTCTTCATTTTCAACCTCGAGATGACTGAGTGCAAATGATAATGTGAAATTATGTATGCTCGTTTGTGCAATAATATCTCTTCTCGGCGATAATATGAATGACCTAAAGTGAAATTAGGAAGCGAGGTCGCGCATCGGCCTTCCCATCAACCAAAGGTGAATCGCCTCAATGTGTCTTATCTCTCTTATCCTGTATCTTCTTATCACTGCTAGAGTCAAAAGCCCGCTAACACCTCCACTTACCTTACCTTAGGTAGCTGTGCCAGTTTGGGTAGGTCGAACCTGCCAGATTTTACGGATATTAGAAACCTACGAATAGCAGCCCGCCTTACGGTCTTACCTAAAGGTAGCACAAAAACCTTAAGGAGTCAGGGCGTATGTCTCCAGCACCTCCAAACCCTTGTCGAGAGGCAACTAAGCGAAAATGGCAACTGGAGTCGAGAGAGTGTGCCCACTGCCGATCCGGACCTCTGCGAGATACGTAAGACTACCTAGGCAAACAGCGGGTTGTGGTTGCTACCTACGTAAGGTAGCCAAGGTCGGGCGGGCATTGCGCGGCAGGGCAGAGGACCCGCTTCGTGAGGTACCTCGCAGTAGAAATCTAGGGAAAGAAATACCTTACGCGTCCGTACTCCGTAGTCTAAGGTAGTGGGTGGAAACTTATCATCCATTGTGAGATCAGAAGAGAAAGGAGAAGCCAAGCAACGATAGCGTGCCGAAATCTGTCACTTTGGGTCCTTGGGTCGACTTGACACCGGCTAAGCTTGCTCAAGCTGAGAAAAGCAGTAAGCAGGCACAGCAAGCCCTTACACAGTAGACATTTTCAACCCACCACTCCGAAGGTACCGTCCGA